AGATAGATAGATAGATAGATAGATAGATAGATAGATAGATAGATAGAATAAGATAACACCATTTAACTGAAGAGCAGAATGCTTTGTGTTTAACTTCATCACAGACTATCATCTTGAGCAAACATGAAGGCGACAGTGGAAAGGAAAATCTCGCTCATGAGGAAGGAACCTTTAGCAGAACCAGGCTCAGGACAAGTGGCCATCTGCTTCAACCAGCTGGGTTTGAGAGGAACAGGAAGGAGGAACACATACACAATGACAGGTCGAGAATCACGTTAATTTAGAAATAGTATCAAAGGAAAACTATTCAATTTTAACAATTCATTTAATGAAATTAGGTCAATTTGTCCTCCAGTAGTCTGAACCTATAGCAGCATAACAAGCCAACCCTAACTATGGGATTTATCAAAAAGGAAAGTCTTAAATCTGGACAATGTGTCAACCTTATGGACAGAAACTGGAACTTGGTTCCACAAGAGAGGAGCGTGATAACTGACAGATCTTCCTTCCATTCTGCTCTTGGAAACTCTAGGAACCACAAGTAAGCCTTCAGTCTGAGAGAGTATTGTCGAGATTCGTAATCTGTTACAAATCTCAGGATGGTTTAGACTCTGACTTTAAGTTTAATAAACAAACTATGTTCTGTAGAAAAGCTTCTCCCAGTTAAGGCAGATAGTTAAGCTTCAGCCAGTGTTGTCCAGATCTGACCTTGAAAAAATAGTCCACGCCTTTATCACTACCTGACTGGACTACTGTAACACACTCTATGCTGAGGTCAGTCAGGTCTCCATCTCACGTCTCCAGCTTGTCCCAAATGCTGCAGCTCGGCTTTTAATAGGAACTCGTAAGTTTGAGCATATTTCACCAGTTCTGTCCTCCCTTCACTGGCTCCCTCTACATACCAGAATTGATTTTAAAATTCTCCCGCTAATCTTTAAGTTACTCCATCTCAGGGCTGAGATGGGGTAGAGGCAGGGCAGCCGACTTGGGACCAGAAAATTGCGGTTCGACTCCCAAGCATTCTCACATGTTGTGGTGTCTCTGAGCAAGACACCTAATCCCAAATTGCTCCCCGGGTGCCATACATAGCTGCCCACGGCTCCACCTGGGTGTATCTCAGGTTTAATGGGTTAAATGCAGAGAACTAATTTGGCCATTGTATGGGAACATACAATGATGACAAGCTCAGACTTCTCTCCAAGTGCCTTAATGGCACCTCTTATCTCTCTGAGCTACTGGAACCATATGTTCCTTCTCTGGTCTTGAGATCATCTGATCATCTGCGTTTGGCTGTTCCAAAAACAAGATTGAAGCTCAAAGGAGATTGGGCTTTTTCAGTCATGGGCCTCAAACTTTGGAACAATCTGTTCCCCAACATCAGGCAGGACACTTCACTTCCTGTTTTTAAATATCTATTAAAAGCACGCCTGTTTTCCTTGGCTTTTTACACAGTGTGACTTTACTGAGTATTTTATTGCTCTGCGTTTCTATGTTTTTCTTTTAATGTCTGTAATTAATTTTCAGTACTGTCATTGCGGACTGCCATTGCAATGCATAGGAGAGCAATGCACTGCCTCCATGCAATGCATGGAAGGTACTTATTATTCTGCACATAATAAGCATTTCTTTATTTGTTTTTCTTCTGTCTTCGTTATTGCAGCCCGAATCACAACGTGCACCCCCACAAAAGTTATATCAAAATGACTGGCTCGATCTCGAGAAGGGAACTTTTACTTTTATTGGCAATCTAAGTTACCATGGCGACGTATTTTGCTAACAAAGACGCCATATTTCCTCATAGGAAATGAATGGGAGAGCACTCCTCACACTAACTGCTGCTGTCAAGTCACGTGATTTAGAGCGTAGAGGTCCCAGAAGAAAACAGAAACTCACTGTTGGATTTGTTTAAAACTCACAGAAAGTACTCATCAGATAAATGTCTAGAACTGATTAACGTTTGGAGCCATTTTGATTCAAGATGGCTGCCACCGCTATCTCAGCAAACACAAAATTGACTATAACTTGACCATTCAAAAAGAGATAATGAGCAGAAATTAAGTATGGTTGTAGCTGAAAGCAAATTGTAATACATTCCTAATGAAAATCAAATATCCAAGATGGTCGCCTTAGCTAAAAGGGAAAAAGCACATTAACTCTGCCATTTTTAAATATATCGAGATGAAATTTGGTGTATTGTAGCTGACAATGATCCCTAATAGACTCTGACTGAAAATCTAAAATCCAAGATGGCTGCCTAAGTAAAAAAGTAAAAATACTTTAAATCTGTCAATTTTAGTGATATGGAGCTGAAACTTGGTGTGGTGTTAGCTGAGCATGTTTCCTATCAAATGCTATGTCAAAATCAAAAATCCAAGATGGCCACCAATGCTACATTTACATGGCTTTAACTCAGCCATTTTGACACATACAGAGCTGAAATTTGGTGAGGTTGTAGCTGAGAACGTTCCCCATCACGCACTGAATCCAAATCAAAAATCCAAGATGGCCGCCTTAGCTAAAAGAGAAAAATACCATAACTCTGCCGATTTTAGAGCAATTTAGCTGACATTTAGTATAGTGGTAGCTGAGGGCGATCCCTATCACATACTGAATCCAAATTAAAAAATCCAAGATGGCCACCTTAGATAAAAGGGAAAAAAATGATAACTCAGACATTTTTAATGCTATTCAGCTGAAATTAGGTATACAGGTAGCTGAGAGGGAACCCCGACACATAGTACTGTCATAGCAACAATTTAAATTGGCAGCAGCCTGGCAGTCCCCGTCAAAGTTTCTCCAGGAACTTTCTAGTTACGTGTAATTTTACTTTTTCCATGAAATTACTCCACTGATTTTACTGTGAAGCACTTTGATAACAGCTTCTGTTTTATAGGTGCTTTATAAATAAAGTTGATTGACTATTGCTTGTTTTTTATTAATAGATTCTTGTGATCTT